GCGGGTGCTCGCTGTGTTGGCCTGAGGACCTGAGTTTGATTCCTAGAAGCCACATAAAACTGACTCCACAGAGTCGTCCTCCGCCAGGCACGGTGGTGCACTCAGGAGGCAGAGGCAGGGGGATCTCTGTGAGTTTGAGACCAGCCTGCTCTACAGAGTGAGTTCTAGGACAGGCAGGGCTGAATAGGGAGACCCTGTCTAATACAAACAAAGCAATGTTGTCTTCTGACTGCCACACAGATACCCTGGCATGTGCCCTCCCCCATTACACACAATAATGATTCAAAAAATAAATATGATTCAGTGACCAAATACTCACCTGTGGCCCTATGTGGAGAAGGAGGTGAGCGGCAGGTGTGTAACAGTCTCGCTTCAGAATGGCTCTCAACTTCCAGCAATGTCCTAGGACACTGGTGACACGGACACCGTGCTCAGAACTCATCCAGCTCACTCCGTGCATGTCCCAGAGAGGGACCAAATGGTGCCGAGTTTCCCGGGATGCTCAAGCATGGGTGTGGCCGGAGTGTCCCAAAAGGGCTGAGATTTAATCTTCATTACTCACGGTGGGGATTAGATGCTGGAAATACAATCTGACCCTGATGCTCAGAGGTAGGCCTTTGGGAAGTGATCAGAATTAGGTGGAATCATCAGGATGGAGTCTGAGATTGAGAACTGGTAGCGTTTTAAGACCAGAGCCTGAAGATCCTGGTTTGTATACCCAGAACCCATGTAAAAGTCAGGCGTGGTAGCATGTGCCGGTAACCTCAGCACTAAGTGAGCAGAGGCACGCAGATCCCTGAAGTCATTCAGCCTAGCCAGATTAATACGCTTCAGGTTCGGGGAGAGACTCGGCCTCAAAGATAAATCATAAATAAATGTCTCGAGTGATGAAGGAAGGACATGATGCTGACCTCCGGCCGACGCCAGCGCATACACACTCATATGCACACACACCGCATCCATACTAAAGAGTTCGTGCACACACGTTACACCCCCTTCACCCTCCCACACACACACACGACATAACACGTTACACTCCCCTGTCACCCCCTTCACTCACCCACCCACACACACAACACAACACGTTACACCCCCTTCACCCCCTTCACCCTCACACACACACACACACACACACACAACACATTACACTCCCCCTTCACTCCCTTCACCCTCACACACACACGCACACACGACACAACACGTTACACTCCCCCTTCATCCTCTCTCTCTCTCTCTCTCTCTCTCTCTCTCTCTCTCTCTCTCACACACACACACACACACACGACATAATACATCACACTTTCCCTTCACACCCCCACCCCCCATACAAGACCAGAGGGGTCATCTCAGATGAGGTCTCCTGCCTTGAAAACTGTGAGCTAAAGCCAATCCTTATTTTTTATAGGGTTCTTGATTCTCTGCCATTCTGTTGTAGTAACTCAAACAGACTAATATGGGGGCTGGGGACAGAGATGTTAGCACACAACGCAGAAGTAGGCACAGCCCTGGAGATCTGCCTTGAAAGACAATATCAGCCAAACAAATCCAAAACAGCCTAAGACATCACCACTGGGTACCTGAATAGCTACAAGTCAAAAGTTGTGTTCTGGGGACCAACAACTTGCCAGAAATTCAGTTCACAACAGACGAGTGGTTGTAGTGTGTCCTGATACACACTTGTGATCCAAGGATTCAAGAGGCAGAGGCAGGAGGACCATGACTTTGAGATCATACTGAGATATATATACATAGTAAGACCTTGTCTCAAAAAGAATTAAAACAGGGTTGGAGAGATGGCTCAGTGGTTAAGGACACTGGCTGCTCCTGCCGGAAGACCTGGTTCAGTTCCCAACATCACATGACAGCTCACAACCATCTGCAAGTCCAGTTCCAGGAATACAACACCCTCTTCTGGCCTCCACGGGTACTGCATGCTTATGATGTGCAGAAATGTCCAGCAAAACACCCATACACATTAAAATAAAAGTTTTTTTAAAGAAAAATAAACAAGCAAGTACAATAGGAATGGAGATATGGCTCTGTGATTAACAGTGCCTGTTGCCTTTCCAGAGGACCTAAGTTTGGTTCCCAGTACCCCTACAGATGGTTGACAACTGTAACTCTAGCTCCAGGGGATCTGATGCCCTCTTCTGACCTCAGTGAGCAACTGCACACATGAGCACACATACCCATATAGATACACATAGCTTAAAAGAAGAAAATAAGCCTTTAAAAAGATAATAAAATAAAGTAATGGCTGTGAGGATGGTTCACTGAAGCACGTAAAAGTGTGCAGGGTGAGTCAGGCAGTGGTGGTACACACCTTTAATCCCAGCATTTGAGAGGCAGAGGCAGGTGGGTGGCTGTGAGTTTGAGCCTGGTCTACAGAGCCAGTTCCAGGACAGCCTCCAAAGCTACACAGAGATACCGTCTTGATAAACAAACAAAAACTGTGGGTGTGTGGTGGCATGTGCTTATAATCCCAGAGCTAGAGAGACAGAGACATGGGGACCCCTGAGATCTCCTAGCCTCCCCTAAGTAGTAACCTCCAGACCCTGAAGGGCTCTCCCTAAAAGAAGGCAGACGCTGTTCCTGATACCCCAGGTTGCCTATGGTCTCTGTGCACATGAATACACCTGCACACACTAAAAAAATAAAAAATAAATCCTTATTTTTAAAAAATAAAACTCCAGACCTCAGAAGCTTGTGGAGTACGAGATATGAAGCAGGCCAGAGAAAGCTGAAATGGAGCAGTCACTGGGGACTTCTCCGGTCTGCCTGGTGCAAGAGACCTTGCCCTGGACTCTATGGCCCAGAGAAAAGCCTGGGAACTGCCTGGGCATTGCTTTGTACTAATGCCTAGGCCCCACCCCCAGAGATGGGGAGGCAAGGGCATTTTGGAGGAGTTCCCAGCCAGGTGAGCAGTGAGATGGAGAGGTCAATGGCCTCCGTGAGAACTGTGACTTCACTGAGAGGACACTTCGGTTGGAGGGAGAGAGCAGGGAAGACGTGACCGGAGCAAGCACGAAAGGGAAGGAGGGCAAACCAAGGGCACAGGAATCCCAGCTTTCTAGACATGGAATCTGCTGCAGTTCAAGCTCTGGATTATTCTCCAAAGCATCAAACCACTGCATGCATAGCTGCCATGGGACTGCCACTGCATGCATAGCTGCCAACAAGGTGGACTGCCCGCTAGCAACACTGGGAAGGCCTGGTACTGGCCAGGCTCATTCTCTTCTTCTTTGTGTTCGCATTTAAGACCAGGACGATGGTGGGAGAGGAGCTCAGGGTCTCAGCACTTACTGGCCTAGCATGCACAAGGCTCTAGGCTTGCTACCCAGCCAGCACCAGGAGGGAAAAACTACGCAAACCAAGAAGCAACAATGATCCCGCCTGATGCCTCTGCCTCTCTGGCTGTCCTCCGACCTCACCCACCACCAGCCCACTCCATAGCAAAGCACTTCCAGTGGCTGTGATAAGTCTCAGGTCCTCCCTATCACTGCGATTTTATCTCTGCCCGCAGCAACACAGCAGCCAAGAGGGTCAGCATGTGTAACGCACAGGGAAGAGGAAGGCAGGCAAGACAGAGAGGAAGAGCCACGGCTAGGAGGGAGGTGCCAGGACAGATGCTCCACAGGGAAATTCGAGGGGGGAGCAGAGACACTACAGGCATTGCCAACCCTCGTGCACAGCCTCTCTAACTGAGGAGAACAGCTAACTAGGAGAACAAGCTGGGAATGGGGAAGGGGTTGCAGAGTGTAGTAAGGACTGTAGCCAGAGTCTGAAAAACCTCTGGGATATATACACACACATATTTTATTTATTTACTTGTTTATTTTACAGACAGGGTCTCTCTGTGTAATCCTGGCTGTCCTAGAACTTGCTCTGTAGGCCAGACTGGCTTCAAACTCAGCGATCCTGCAGACTCTGCCTCCCAACTGCTGGAATTAAAAGTGTGTGCCACCACCTGACTACATATTAACTATAGTATATACATAGTGTGCCACCACTGCCCGACTCTATCATACATAATATTTATCTTATGTGTGTTTTTCCTGCACGTGTGTCTATGCACAGTGTGCATGCTGAGGCCAGAAGAGGACGACGGATCCCTTGGAACTGGAGTTATAGATGACTGTGAGTCTCTGTGTGTGCTGGGAATTGGAACTGGGTGCACTAAGGAGCAGCCGGTGCTCTTAATGGCCAACCATTTCTCCAGCCTGGAAGGTGTTATATCTGAGGGTATTAGATACATGACTAGACTGTTCGAACCGTAAAGCTTTTGTTTGTTTGTTTTTTAAAATGTATGTGTTGTGTCCATGACGACAAGTAGATGTCAAATGCCCTGAAGCTGGCCTCACAGGTGCCTGTGAGCTGCCCAGCAATGGTGCTGGGATCCAGTGCTCTGGAAGAGCCCAGTGCTTTTGGCCATGACCTAGCTTCCCAACCCCACCTACTGATTCTTTTTTAGGCAGGGCCAATGTTTCTCATGCCAACCCCAAACTCACTATTCTAGCAGAGGATGACCTTGAACTTCTGATTCTCCACTTCTCAAATGCTGGGATTACAGGCATGCGCCACCATGCCCAGCATATCTGGGACCAGAGATCAAACCCAGGGCCTCCTGCATGCTCGGTAGGTAAGTATCCCCAGCCCGTCCACGGTTCTTTTTTCGCTCTCCTGGAGCACTTTAGGCCTGTTTCTCACTTAAAACTGAGAAATGGAAAAACGAAAGAGCCACAGGGTTGAGCGTGCTTGTTATTCCGAGTGCACTGTGTAGTCAGGGCATCGACACGCTCGGCCCTGGCTCCCAGGTAGGCAGGTAGGGCGTACACCTCTTAGTCGTGGAAGGAGGGTACAGTGGGCTGCTAAACAGCTTGCCAGGGTCCCACACTGGTAAGCAACAGAGCTGGGACTCCAAGCCAGGCAGCCTGGCCCCAGAGTCAACATTCATCCGGTACAGCGCTGAATACATGGTGGCTGGGTTACGTCCTGACAAGATGGGACACGTGAGCTGGACTAGATTCCAGGGCCTCCATCAGTCCCCAGGTCTTCTGCCACCCACACCCTCCCGTTCTGAAGCCTGGTGTCCTGGTACCTGAGGTAGAGACCTGTAGACAGCCATACCTGGAGGGGACCACCAATGATTAGTGTTCCTCGACAGCCACAGGAGGCTGACAGTTGCTGATGGTGTCGCGTCTCTGGACTCCAGGTCCTCTGACCCTGTGACTTTCTCAATCAAAGGCCCCGCTGCCTTTCCTCCACATCTGATGAACCACATCCTTACCGAGGGTGTACTGTAGCTTAAAGGGCATGCTGTCCACGGTCGGAGCCACACGCCCAGAAGGCTGTCCTCCCCTGCCTGGGCTAAATGAGCTTTCCAGGGAGACCAACAAGGTCCTGCTGACCTATCTCCTCCCAGGGCAGGGTCTCCCGGAGACCTAGCTCAGCAGCTCAGAAAGGAAGCCAGGAGACAAGTGTAGTCCCTGAGCAGCAGAAAGAAGGCCCCCAAACTATCATGCCCCCACTCTTAATAAATTCATTTGTCTACCAGAGCTAGTTCCAAGACAGACTGCAAAAACTACAGAGAAGCTACAGAGAAACCCTGTCTCGAAAAACTAAAAACAAAAAAAAATTCATTTTGTTTTTTATAATTTGTTTTTAGATTTTTGACTTGCATTTTACGTGTGGACGTATTTCTGTGTATTGCATGTGTGCAGCTCCCAAGGAGGCCATAAGAGAACTAGACTCATGACAGCTGTGTGGTGCCATGGGGGTGCTGGGAATTGAACCTCAGGCCCTCCAGCAGCCACTGGTCCTCGCTGCTGACTGCAGAGACAGCTCTCCAACACACACTCCATCCACAGAGGGACAGTTCAGTGGGGAAGATCTCCTGCAGTGAGTTCCCAGCACCCTGTCTGGCAGCTCAAAAATGCCCAGAATGCCAGCTCCAAGGGATCTGATGCCCTCTTGTGATCTCTGTGGGAACTGCACTCTGTGAACACAGCCTCATACAAACACACAGAAATTAAAAAAAAAAAAAAAAATTAAAAAGAATTTATGGCCAGGTCCCAGCACTCAGGAAGCGAAGGCAGATGGAGCTCTGAGTTCGAGGCCAGTCTGGTCTGCAAAGGCCAGCCTGAGCTGAACAAAGAAACCCTGTCTTGTGCCAGGTGGTGGTGGCGCATGCCTTTAAGCCCAGCACTCAGGAGGCAGAGGCAGGCAGATCTCTGTGAGTTCGAGGCCAGCCTGGTCTACAAGAGCTAGTTCCAGAACAGGCTCCAAAGCAACAGAGAAACCTTGTCTGAAAGAAAGAAAGAAAGAAAGAAAGAAAGAAAGAAAGAAAGAAAGAAAGAAAGAAAGAAACTCTGTCTTGAAACAACAAAATAAATAAATACATACATAAGTAAATAAATAAATAGAACAAGAAAAAAAGAACTTCTGACAAACACTGATGTGGTCTTCTTTAGGAATTAAAAACATGGTTCTTGGAATTGGTTGAGCCTGGGTTAGAACCCCAGCCCTCTACTCTAGGCTGTGTGGTTTTCAACAATTTACTTAACTTCTCTGAATCGGTATAACAAAAACAATAATTCCTACCCTGATGCAAGATACATTAGCCTGGCAGCTATTGCTTGCAGCAAGGTCTTACTCCAGTCTGCCTCTGGTGGCATTTGGCTATTCTAATTAACACAGTGCTGTGTTCTCCTTACTGTCAGAGACTGTCATCTTCACAGTCCATGAACACGTCCACATCCATTACACAAGCTCACCATGTAGGCTCTGCTCTTGGTCCTCACAGTGGTGCAACAGATAATCCTATTTCTATTCGGTCTTTTCGCAGTACAGGTAGAGAGAGAGGCTAGCTGTAGCCCAAGACAGGGATGCCTCTGGAAGCTCTGAGGATCTGAACTCCCTCTACCTCCTGCCCCAAACACACACACCTAGAAGGCTAACTCGTTTCTATGGCAGCCCCAAGTGTCCCCTGCCCTCCATCCCCAGGACAAAGGCTCAACTAGGCTTTCACGTCAGCTGTGGTTGGGGAAACCCCTGCTGCCTGCAAAAACGAAGTTGACTTTGAAAAAGAAGAGAAGGAAGCCAGAGGGAAGGGAGGCTGGGCCACTCCCTGTGGGGGCAGGTGCTAAGTAACTCTATAAACCCTAGCTAACGATGCAATTGCAACCATAAACAGAGCCTAAGAGAGATCAGGGCCAGAAGCCAGACCCTCAAAGGGCAGCCAGGCTAGAGGGTAGGTCCCCTCCCACCTACTTCCCGGCGTCCAGGAAGTGGGGTGGGGGCAGATGGCGGCTCCCTGTGATGGGATGGGCAGACACACTGGACATCCCCCAGCGGTGCTTGAATGAACTCTTCCCTGGCTCACTCCCTGCCCACCTCTTACTGAGTCACCAGGCCATCAGCCCTAAATGCAGTTGGCTCTCTGTGGATTCAATGCTCACGTCAGATGTACCTTGCCTCATTCCATGGGGCCTGGGACTAAGAGACCTGGGTCTCCATCTAGCTCCACCTCCTAGGTGGACAGAGAATTAGCACTCAGCTGTAACAAGCCCTGTAAAGTGTAAGCTATGTCGGCTTCTCTCACGCAGGAGAACCCCAAAACAGACCTGCCCTTCATCACACGCTCTCCTTCTCAACTCTCCTATAACTGAGGCAAGCCTAAAGAAGAGAACCAAAAGAGCCGAGGGAAACTGAGGAACAGTAAAAGCTCCAGTGGCAGCAACCCTTCCCCCTTCCAACTACCTCTCTTGACTGGCGGGTTACTAAGGCTGGCTCTCTCTCCAGACTGGGCGCTGCGGGGGAGTAGAGCCTGGAGACGGCTCTAAAGCGGGACACCAAGCAGCTACGAAGGGAGCCGGCCATCGAGCCTGACCTCCGCGTCTGGATCTGCCAGTATCTGCACCTGGCCGCCCTAGAGGAAACTGGAGATCCGCCCCCACCTCACACCCCAACAGTGCCTGGTCTGGGCCAGCGGAATCCAGGCCAGGGAGGGTGTAAGGACCTCAGGCCAAGTCCTAAAGGCTCCCCTTCCCCGCTGCATCAAGCAGTCCCTCACTCCCGATCCGTGGAGCCCACACTTCCCCAGTGAACCGAGCACCCAAGTTTAGTCCTGCAACTGTCACACTGAATAGTCCTCTGCAGGACGAGCGAAAGCTGATGCACGTTGGGGAAGGGCACCGCGGTGAGGGGCAGGCGCAGAATGGAGGGCGGGGGCCGGGGGAGCGCTGGCGCAGACCAGCCCCACCCGGGCGGGCGTCCTCCCTTCCTCTCCAGGGCGCGGGGCTGGGGCGCGCCAGGCGGCTGCGGCGCGAACCTGCTCGCGCAGCCCCGAGCAGCTCCGGGCAGCGGTGCGTGAAGCCAGAACCCAGAGCACGACGGGGGCCGAGGGGCGGGGACCCAGGTGGCGTCCGCCAGCTCTCTTCCAGGAGGCGCTGGGCGGAAGAAGCAACGGGGTCCGGAGTTGGGGGTGGGGGAGACGAAGGCACTGACCTGGAGCCCGGGGCGAGCTAGCCTGGGGTTGGTCGGTGCAGAGTGAAGGGGACAAACAGGGGAAAGGGGGCGTATTTTCCGGAATTAGGGACCAAGAGGGTGGCTCAGGGAGGAGAGCAGACAACTGGAAGTTCAAGGAAGCAGAAAGCGAGACGCACAGAAGGTGCAACCCCAGTTGGGGTTCCCTAGGGTGGTGGGATAAGGCGAGAGAAGTTTGTCAGGGACACCAGGGGCTGAAATCAGGGGTGTCTTCTGCAAGAGATCAAGGAGGGAGGGAGGCACAGAGGGAGAGAGAGAGGGATGGGACGTCCACACCATCCCCGGACACTGCAGCCCAGCCCACGGGGCGTGGCGCCTCGCCGGCCCTCCCACTCCCCCGCGACCATCCAGGCTGGGCCTGGCCCCGCCGGCCTTGGTGGTTGCACACCTCCCCGAGCCTCGGACTCCCTCCCCCGAGCCCCCCGCCCCCGCCGTATCGGGGGAGGGGGAGCGAGCCGAGGGCCCCGAGCGTCCCTCAAAACTTATTGCAAGTTTACTCCTGCGCCTCCCGCCCCAGCTCCACTCAGCTTCCCCGGGCCAGGAAGGCCCGTGCCCGCCCCGGCCACTCCCGCTCCGGTTACATAAGGTCGCGGGGAGGCGGCCCCCTACCCGGCCTGAAGGGAGGGGCCCGAGGGGCTCCCCGGCTGACGAGCCGCACCGCTCCGGCCACGCGCTGGGTACCCAGGGCTGCACCGGCTGCGGATGGGTGGCGGTGCAGTGCACCCTGTCCTGCTCGTCTGTACCCCCATCCACCCACCCCACCTGTCTCCGGCACCCACAGGATGGAAAGTGCGGAGCTGGCGTTCCCCAGTTCCCCGTGCACCCCTTGCCCCCTAGTCCCGCTCACCTCGCTTTGAAGGTCAATCTGTCCGCCGCCGGCGCCCTGTGGTTCCGGCAACTTGTCTCAAGTTCGGGTGCCCGACCCCCGATCTTCGCCCGCCGCCCGCTTTCGGGCTCCTCAGGCTACGCGCCACCAGCCAGACCCGCCCCGTCCGCCCTTCCCGCCGCCGTCGGCGCCGTCGCCGCTCTCTGCGTCGCGCCCGCGGCTGCCGCCTCCGCTGTCACCTAGCCCCGCGCCCGGCGCTCGGGCTCCGGCTGTCACTCCGCGCCCACTTCCCGCTGAGCCCGGCAGAGGGCAGCACCCGCCCCCCGCGGACCGCCCCCGGAGGCCTCCCGCGGCGCCCGCTGGGAAACGTAGTCCCTGCCGCCGCCGCGCGGGGCTCGCCGGGATTTGCAGTTCTACTCTGCTGACCGAGGTCCCAAGGAATCAACTTTTGACTTTAAAAGTTTGTCCCCTTTTTCCCTTTTCAGATTTTCTTTCTCCTCTCTATCAGTGGTGTCCCGAGGTAGGATCTACTACATTATGACATCTTGTGGAAGGACCAATACCAAGCTTCTTTTCCAGGAATGTGAGAAAGATATAGGGTCCCAGGTGGTCCCTCCTGGTTAATGTGAAGGTGTTCACTCTCAGGATTGCCAGCAGCAGACAGAGGAGTTACCTTATCCTTTAGGAACCTTCACTTAGAGACTTTTGACTGCTTTGTTAAATAATAATAATAATTGCTGTTCTACTAATTATTATTATTATTTCAGAACAAGCCAGTATGAAGCAGAACTATAGCTTCTTTAAAAATATGTGTGCAAATGTATAAAAATAACATATATATTGTTTGTTTGTTTTTGTTGACAGGATTTCTCTGTGTAGCCTTGGCTGTGCTGGAACTCACTCTGTAGACCAGGCTGGCCTCAGACTCACAGAGATCCTTCTACCTCTGCCTCCCAAGTGCTGGGGTTAAAGACCTGCGCCACCACTGCCAGACTTAAAAATGTATTTTTAAATATATATATATTTAAAACACAGAGGTTAAGAGAAAGAGGCAATCAGGGAAAGTGGAAAGGGTAGGCCCACCAGAGAAACCGGGTGTGGGCTTCTCATTGTTTTTTAAACGGCCAGCTTTCTTGTTTTGGTGATCTCTGAAGTTATCTTCAGACGACTGCTGAGAAACTTAAATAAGATCACAGAATGTTTCCTGGGGTGGACCTGATAGTGTTGTAATTGACCAGGTTAAAGATCATAAAGGAAGTGAGGCTATCTTAACTGTAAACAAAACAGTCTTACTTGTCAGGTTCCCAAACTGTCTGGGGGGGAGCTGAGGCTTGATTCCAGGACACACGTGCTCAGGCCTTAAGCCTGGTTTATTGTTGTATTTACCATTGTTTTATTTTGTTGAAACAGGGACTCACCAAATAACCCTAGCTGGCTCAGAATTCACTAGTGGATTACGCTGCTCTCGAACTCACAGAGGTCTGCCTGCCTCTGCTTTCCAAGAGCATGTCCCCACTCTGGATTGTCTGTTTAAACGCTTAATGAGATGACCTCTGCGTTGGCAGCCCTCACATGAGATGGTCATTGTCTGAGAGTTCATGATTCTCAGCCGACAGAAGACTTCATCCAGAATGAGAAGGATACCTTTTCCTCTCAAGTCCCATAACCCTTCTATCCTGTCTCAGTTTGGATCTTGCCCTTTGTGCCTGCCTGTAAGTATAAGATGGAACCACATCACTGCCATTTTACTGTTCAGAAGCTTTCCAGTCTCCTCGCTTGTCTCTTCCTCCGAACAGAAGCTCAGAGCACTAAGATAACATTCTTAGCTTTCTTTCCCTGTTGTTTTCTTTACTCCCTCTCCCACTGCCTCCTTTTCTCCACACCTCTTGCCCTTTTCTTCCTCTTCCCTCTCTCCCTCCACCTTTCCCTTTATTTTCTTCCTCTTCTTCCTCCTCTTCCCCCCATCATGTGACCCCATATTTCTGGGGCTTTCTGAGAAACTGCTAAGGATGTGCAAGAATAAAGTCTAGAGCAACAGATCTCTAACTGAGCTGGCCAGAGAAAGCCAGGGAAAGAGCTGGCCAACCTGTCCATAGGCAAGGGGCAACCCTCTCTCCTTCAAACACAAGTTCTCGGATTTAGGAGGTTGGGTAAAAATATGGTCACTTTAACTAAGTCTCAACCTTCTGCAGCCTTCCTAGAAATAAGCATCTTGCTTCCTCAAGGACCCATAACTGTTAGAAATGAACATCCTTCAGAAAATTCTAGTCAAAATGGATTCAAAGCTGAAGAGACAAACAGGCACATTGCTAGAGGTCATTCCCATGGCCTTGAGGTCCACGGAGTCTGGGGTGTGATTTAGCAGGGTGTTTCCCATTTACCCGTCATTACAAGCCCTGCTCCCATCACCAGTCTTCTAGGGAATCTAAGAAGAGGCTCTAGACTCTGAAGGGTGCAGCCTATGTCCAAGCCTGGCTTCAAACTCTGCTTCGCTTAGCATCTCAATGACCCACCGGGAAACCTCATGACCACTGAGGTCAGTCAAAGGGGAACTTGCCATGATCCCCACTCCCACAGTCCCGAAGACCCAGTAGTCTGAGTCACAACTTTACCCAGCTCCCCCACCCCACACATCCCATACATATACCACAACAGGCTGGTCAATGTGAAGAACTATTTATTATCAGAGAAAGTGTAGGGTACAGAAGGGGAAGGTTGGAGGCAGAGGGCAAGGACAGAGGGTACTCCTCACAAGTTGGGGGAGGTTGAGAGGAGGAAGGGCACAGGGTCTAGATGGCAAGTCTAGACAGCAGTGGCAAAGCCCACCTTCTTGTTGCCCATGTCAAAGACAGCGTAGTAAGACCTGAGGAAGACATCCCCAAGGATCCAGAAGGGCTGGCCGTCTTCAGAGGTCAGAGGGGTGCTCTCAAGGCCTACCATGCAGTAGCCATCCTCCTGTTCAACAGAAGACAGCATTCTCTCACATGCTCACGGGCAAACTGAACTTCAGCAACTGAATGACTCAAGACTGCCTAGGGGCTCATGGGACAGCTGCCCCTCCACAGCAAGGGCTGTTGGGGCTCAGGGAGAGAGGGTGCTCTTTCCCCAATAGCTGACTTCCGGTTGCCATGGTTCTACGGAGTGGAGGGCTTCCTCCTCAGACTACCTTCCCCCTGCTCCTGGCCTGCAACAGGCCAGCCTGACAGTTAAGCCGCAAACCTCTGCATAGTTGTTCTAGACCACTCTAGATCCCAGCGGCTCTGCCCATAGAAATGAGGCCTTACCTGGAGGATGTAGGAAGAGGGTGACAGAGGGAACTCAACACCGTTGAGGACAAAGTTGAAGGTAGGCAGGCTACTGACGCTGTCACAGCTCACAAAATACTGCAGAAAGGAACACGGCCCATGCCGATACGTCTCACTTAGAACAGTGTCCAACATGCCTGCCACCTCAGCACCCTAGGCCTGTACCCCATCACGCCTGCCACCTCGCACCCTAAACCCTAGATCCACACCCCAGTCTGTTTTATATTGGGGTCCACAGCTCCAAGGCAATGCTGACTCACCTACTATGAACATTGTATGAGCATTGGCATAGATGGGGAGGGGTTCGAGGAGCCCTGAGGAGCCCACTACCCTAAAGCTTTGCTCCTGACTGAATTTCCACTCTGAGAGAGAGTGTGGATTGTTACCTTCCTCTGCAAGTGCCCTTTAACATATTTTCTGTAGAACATGGAAACCATCAGTTTCCCCAGAACTAGGAGAATGTCTTGGGTAGTCAACTCTCCACTGGCCTTAGGGTGGAGAGAGCAGGAGAGAGCCTGACCCTGTGGGGGTGAGGACATGTGGACCACAGAGCTGTCCCTTGTCATTCATCTGCTCGGTCCCGCTTTCTAGTCATTTTCTCCAACCCTAAAGGCCCGTAGTGTTTACTCCATATCCCAAGGTGACTTCAGCTCAGAAGAGAGTCTTGCTTTGCTCTACTTCCTCAGCTCCAGCCTCCAGGTCTCCACCCTGCCAGGGCCACTCCCCACCAGTGACCTCTGTAGCTAAAAGCCTGGAGGCCGAGAATTCAGCCAGCTTTGATTTCCCAAAGAGAAGCTGTAAGTGGCACCACAGTCCTGCCACGCCCTAAGATGGCTATTCCTGAGGGAGGGGGAGCCCTGCCTACCGTACTCACCTCTCCATATTCTTCCTCAGCTCCTATGGCCTCCAGAAAGTCGCTCAGGTACTGAGAGGGCATGGTGAGGAGAGAGGTGCCAGTGTCTACAATGCCCTGGCAGCCCTGGGAGCACCAGCCAGAGGTGGTTCCACCAATAAGGAAGCTGAATGGTAAGAGGATAGCAGCCTCAGTTCCCACCTGTTCAGGGCAGGCAGAGGGGGCCTCCCACCACAGTGACACAGGGGGCTGCACACAGAGACAAGCCATCAATGAGGAAGGTAAGGGGACCCCACTTCATATCACCCTAGGGTCCCTTCAAAGCCATATGAATGGCCGTTGAACCTACTTCCAAAGTCTCAAGGAGGCTGTAGACACAGCAAAAGCCAGAGCCACTGGTTGCTGCAAGGACTTTGAAACACACTCAGTCTCTAACCTGTGGCGTTGGACTACAGGGGACCTCATGATTGAGATTTTATGTGTCGCCCCTCTTCTCTAGATTTAGCTCAACTCTGATGCTCCTGCATAGGTTAGCTGTGACTCCGGGGCATGGCCTATCTTAAAGTCCTCTCCCACCCATCCCCACCCCACCATCAGTGCCTGGATGAACGGACGGTTTATAGTGTTTGGAGGTGCAAGCAGAGAAGACCCCACCGCAGACTCACTCATCGATGCTGATCTGCCAGTAGAGGTCCTGGGTGACGGGAATCCAGGTGAGCTCCCCAGTGTAGAGGTCCTTGTCCACACCTCCAAAAACAATCTGTCCGCCATCAGATCCCTCCTGGCTACAGAAGACAAGAGGAAGGATCAGGAATGAACAGCATCCTGTGGCGAGTTAGCCATCTTCAGAAAACAGCTCCCGACCTCACTTCACATTGAGGCTCCCTGCAGATAAGCTAGGTCTCCTCAGACTGGGGCTCCCTGCGGACAGGTCCCCTCAGACTGGGGCTCCCTGTGGATGAGCTAGGTCTCCCTCAGACTGAAGCTTGAGAACAGTCTGTGTTTTCCTCAGATTGGGTCTTCCTGTAGATAGGATATGTTTCCCCCAGATGAGCTCCCTGTGTGGGCCTCTCAAAATCTCCAGTGCTTCAGCCTCTGGAGTGATGCTGTCCCATAGAGTCCCAGCCCCTCTTAGCAGGCAGCTAAGTGGGCCCCACCCACTGGAAAAGGAGCAAAGCAGGGATGGATGGAGCTCCCAAAGGTGACATGCAGAGCGATTGTAAGCAGAAGCAAAAAACAAGTCTGTAGGGCCTGTGACAGTGAAGGT